CTATACGAAACCGTAATTAAGCCTGACGTGATATGACCATTAACCCATTGAGAACTTCCGGTTTATCAATATGATTAGTATTGTTTAATTTTTTTTAAAAAGCAGAGCATATACTCAAATAAGTGTATCCATAAAAAGACGGATAAACAGAGAATATATTAAAATACTTATCGGATTTAATCCATACTAAATTATATTTTTTCATTTTTTATGTTCGGCTAAAATTTCAGAGCAGATGGTGAATTTTGGATTTACAGCGGTGAATTGTGATCACAGTAACTTTGGTGGGGAAGAGAGCATTTATAGAATTTGGCCTATCTGGCTTGTCACCTTGAAAAAGAGGTTGGGAAATGGCATTCTGACAAATGGTGAAAAGGTTGCATGGGGCAAGCAAGGTTGAGGGCCCCTGCTGTAAAGAGTACTTTTTGCCAAACTTCGGAAGGAGAGCAACACTTGCCACGGATATCAATATTTTTCATCAAAACACATTCGCTACTGATGTAGGTAATACATAACTCAGCTATAGGTGGAGGTTTCTTCCAATTTAAGGTGTGCTCAAATGTTTTTTTTAAAAGGAAATTTACGTCATTGCATTTCTTTTTCATCCCATCATTTGCATTTTCTTTCCTTTTCTTCATTACTTTTCATTTTCATTCTTCCCTTTGCATTTTCTTTCTTTTCCTTCACTGACTTTCATTTTCTTTCCTACATTGACATTGTCCTTCCTTTTTTATAGCTTGGCATTTTCATTTGTCGATTTGCATATTTTCCTTTTCCTCATCGACTTTTTTCCTTCACTCATTTGCATTTTCCTTCATTGACTTCCATTTTCTTTATTACATTTTCCTTCCTTTTTTATAGCTTTTCATTCTCATTCCTCAATTTGCATTTTTTTTCACTTACTTTGCATTTTCATTCATCGATTTGCATATTCTTTCCTTTTCTTCGTTGCCTTTCTTTTTCCATCGGCCATTTACATTTTCTTTCGTTCACTTTCATTTTCTTTCTTACATTTACATTTTCCTTCGTTTCTTTATAGCTTTTCTTTTTCATTCCTCAATTTGCATTTTTCCTCACTTACATGTTCATTCGTCGATTTGCATATACTTTCCTTTTCTTCATTGAATTTAACCTTCCTTTCTCTATTTATATTTTCCTCCCATTCCTTCACTTACTTTCATTTTCCTTACTCCTTTTGCAATGTCTATCTTTTCCTTCATTGCATTTAATTTTCATTCCTCCATTATCAAATAATAATGATTTATAGTCCACGCTTTTCCCTATTGGCTTAAAAACCTCATATAAAGAAAAGCCCAGTTGTAGACAACCGTTAGTGATCGATTTAATGCATTAAAATGCGTGGTAAAGGAGAACTCGATCACCTACAATCGAAAACCTATCAGAAATAAGAGGATCATCGATAAAAAAACAGCATATAGAGAGTATTACATAAATTCTAAAGACTAGAGTTGATTAAGATTGATGTAAGCTAATAATTGTTCATGACGTGATGAGATTGATTTGTTTTTTACGGTTTATCAACCATTTACGGGTTATTTAAAACCATAAAATATTCTTAGATCGTAAGATTTTTTTTTTTTTTGGCGGGGAGGGTGATTACTATGATTTTACAAGTCATACTAATTAACCCATAACTGCAGCGAAACGAAGTGTATTCATGTCTTTCCGAAGAGTATTTGCGCCTAGGTGAATATAACGAACCTAACTGGAATTCGAACGCGGGTCTCCCATTTCTAATTTATCTATTTCACCTCCCGGATATCCAAACTTACAGCACCCGGTATTCCCCAAACGGTCACCCATCCAGGTAATGACCAGGCTGGGCGTTGCTTAACTTGTAACGTGGTAAGAGTAAAGTTGATACAAAAGAAAGCAAAGAAAAAAGAACCTTAAAAAAGTGGGAGAGGATTTTTTTTTTTTTGCAGTCAACCAAAGTTTTTTTTTTTTTTTAATAAATAAAATGAAAGAGCAAAGTAACAAATTAAAATCTGGAAATAGTGAAACGGACACCTTGCGTATTTCCTACCGGAACTTGTGTTCGAACCCCGATATAAGCGAAGATTTCCACTGTTGACGTTCAAGGCATGCAAGCTCTTTTCTTTTAGCAGGCTAACCCAATAAAAACCTTCCATCTTCTGTTTTACCCATTTTGTCTTACATTAGATTGAGTTAAGCTTCGTAAGTACCATCAAATCACTGAATGGCTCAGAGAACACGGGGAATGACACTAAAGATTACGAGGAAGGCTTCTTAAATTTTTTATCTTTATATATGCCTATTTACTACCTATGGATTAAATAGCATAACAGACTGATTCTTTAGCCTTGGTAGTAGCCAGCCTCGGAGAAGGACAGCTCTAAGTTCCAATCTGTGGAAGATGCAATGGGAAACCAAGACAATAACTTTCCCAAGAAGCCATGGCAATTCCCAGATATTAAAGAAAAGGGAAACAGTGGAAAGCCATAATCACCTACGTCATTAAAAATAGACACACGATTATATAATTGTTACTATAAACGTTACTTTTAGTGGCTACACCCGTTTGATTTGCTATCCTTGTTTTCTTTTTATTTTAGTAAACAGTGAAAATAATGACCACGGGCTTAAATTAAGAAGTCCTACTGAAGAAAAAGTGTATCTCCGACAGGAATCGAACCGGCGTCTTCTTTTCTTTCTTTTTTTTCTTTTTTCATCAAGAAAACCAATTTTTGAGGTTCGATTCCTGTCAGAGACATAGTTTTTTTCTTTAGTACGACTCTTCAGTTTAGACCTGTTGTTATTAATTTCACTGTCTGATAAAATATAAAGCAAAAGTAATTGCAAGTCAAACATATATAGCTACTAAAAATAACATTTATAGTAGTAATGTCGTACAAAGATTCTTTCAAAATTTACACGATTATATAGTGAAATTAATCATTATTTCATTAGTTTGAGATCAGTTGGCAAGATCTCTAGTTGCCGAAATGTTTATGATGGCGTCAGACAAAAATCAAACTTTTAGTTTATTAAACAAAGTAACTCTCGAGCAAGGCCTTAATATATTAACAACTAGCAGCACATTGCCCGTGCGTGATTCAAAAATCTTACGACATACAGCAATCGCTATCACTTGACTTAAAATATTTTTGCCCTTCCTTGCCTTTAAAGGAGTGCCCTTTGCCGTGCTGATGTTGCTACATACCTTACTTCTTGCCTATCTCACACTGAGAATGTTTTCTAAACTCTATACTAAATCTGTTACGAAAAAAGAACTAAACAAAATGAACACAAAACGATCAGCTTTCAAAAAGGACTCGTAACTGGAAAAACCGAATGAAAAAAGAATGTTAACAACAAATACTTTTTCATACCCAACTCAGTTCTGCGGAATCAGAATCAACGTTGAGTTTAAGCAAGCGAATGAGCCAATTGGAGTAAAGTGCCTTGCAGATTTAAATTTTTCCCACTTGTGACGAATGCAGCTATCGATTTTTTTTTTGCATGCTAGCATGCTAGTTAACATTCGTGTCAGTCAGCTGTTGGCTCTCACGCTGGCCAATAGAATCTTCCTGCCTATTCGTGGCAGCCAGTTATTGGCTCTCACTGTGCACAGTAGAAAATGGCCGCAAATTACATGAAAACTGCGTAGAAGTATGAAAAATTGATTATTTCCACTCTCGATGGGAGTTGGGAAATGCATAGTCGGTCTTGGCCTTCCCGCTAACTTGGAGCATGTGCGTATAAATTTTGGTGCAAATCCGTCGAAAATTGCGACCGTGCATTCGTTACACACACACACACGCACATACACACACACACACACACACATCCTGCCTTTTATAGATAGAGATTTTATTTTCTTCCTTTATACAAATTATCAATGAGATTTGAAACCACATACATTATTGTTGAGAATTTACCTTACTGCGCTTCACTGATTGGACGACAAAAGCTCAGACAAAATTATCTTTAAAATTTATTCATATAACAATGCTTTCTTTTATATCTGATAAGATTGTCAAGTCGGAGGACACAGGATGTGAGTTGTTGTGTGTGAATTCTTTATTTTTTCTATCCATGCTTATAGAATGCTCAGAAAAATTCGACCTGAGCTTTGCAGAAATAAGCAATAATGAAGATGAAAGGAAACAACAATGATTCTGTTTTCTACGTACCGGTATTGTAAGTAAATCGGTTTTGTAAAAGGTCTGACTAATAAATATTCTGTCCGTTAGCCATTCAAGAATATCGGAAGTTGTAGTAACTAGAAAATAAATGATTATTAAAAGGAGAGAAATAAAAAAAGAAAATATTATCAGCAGAATGGAACAGGAATAGAAACGAGAAAAAATTGGAGAAGTTCATAGGAAAACACAGATGGATGAAAAGGAGAAAATTGGGATGAAATGCAGGATGAAAATATAAGGAAGAGAAAGAATAGAAATGAAATGAAGGAAAGGGTGAAAATGCAAATGGAGAAGAAGAAACTAAAATTCAATGAAGGAAAATAAAGAAGATATACATGAAGAAAGAAGAATGAAAACCATTGAAATGCCGGTTCAATAACTTTCCCAAGAAGCCATGGCAATTCCCAGATATTAAAGAAAAAGGAAACAGTGGAAAGCCATAATCACCTACGTTATTAAAAATATACACACGATTATATATAGAAATAAATGAAGGAATGAAAATGAAATGCAATGAAGAAAAGAAAGGTAAAAACAAAGGAAAATGCAAATGCAGGTGGAAAAATGAAAGCAATGAAGCTAAAAAAAAAAAAAGGAAAATGCAAATGAAGGAATGAAAATAAAAGTAAGTGAAGGAAAGCGAGAAAAATACAAATAGGAAGGAAAATGAAATAGAATGAAGGAAAATGAAAATGGAGGGAGGAGATGAAATGTAATGATGGAAACTGCAAGAGGAAAAGAAAAGGAAATGCAAATGGAAGAAAGAAAATTGAATGCAATGAAAAAAAAGAAGGAAAAAGCAAATACAAGAATGAAAACAAAACACACAAAAGAAAAGGAAGACAATTGAAAATGGAGGAATGAAAAAGAAATTGAATGAAAAATATAAGAAAATAAAAGTGACGAATAAAAATGAAATGCAATGAAGAAAAGAAATTTAAACACAAAAGTAAGAATGAAAATGAAAAGTCATGAAGAAAAAGAAGGAATATTTTAATGTGGCGAATGAGAATGAAATTCAATAAGAAAAAAAATGAAAAATGCAAATGAAGGAATGAAAATTAACAACAATGAGTAAAAGGAAGGAAAATGCAAACAGAAGAGTGAAAATGAAATTCAATGAAGGAAAAGAAGGAAAATGCAAATAAAATTCAATGATGGCAAATAATCAACATCAAAAGAGAAATGAAAGTGAAATGCGATTAAGAAAAGAAAGGAAAATTCTAATGGAGGAAGTAAAATGCAATGAAAAAAGTGAAACGATGCAAATGGAGGAATTAAAATTAAATATGCAATGACGGTAAAGATGGAAATGGGCGAATAAAAATAAAATGTATTTTTTATCTATCTATCTATCTATCTATCTATCTATCTATATATATATATATATATATATATATATATATATATAGTGCAACCTCGGTTCTCGAACGTCTCACATGTCGAACAAATCGGTTTTCTAACAGAAAATTCGAGTTGAGAATGCCTCGGTTATCGAACAAAATTTTGCTTCTCGAACAATATTGTCGAACCGAGTTAACCCGAACGGAATAATTTCCGAGTCGACCGCCGTGCTTTTCTTTTTTTTTTTTATTGTACTGTGACTTTTTTTTTTCTCTAGATTGATCCATATTGGAAAAAAATAGTTTCGGTTTACGAACATTTCGGTTTACGAACGGCCTTCAGCAAAGAATCAAATTCGTGAACCGAGGTTCCACTATACATATATACATATATATATATATATATATATATATATATATATATAGATAGATAGATAGATAGATAGATAGATAGATAGATAGATAGATATATGCAGAGAGTAAGGGAGAAATAGTTTAGCACAATCAGTATAATGACACACACACGTATATAGAAATAGTTATAGGTAGACAATCAATATATCATATATTGTTGAGTGATCAGAGAAATGCAACCTAAACACATTGATGCATGGATGGGATGGGTGTGCAGAAAGTGAAAGGCAGATGAGAAGGCGGTGGACGAATAAGAGGGAAGTCTTAAAGTATGAAGTAGGGTGAGATGTGAAGGAATAGGGAACGATGGGAACAGCGGTGGGGGTGGACTGCTTTTTGCGAAATGCCTCTTTTGCAGAACTTCTTTTTCTTCTTCTGTTTCTCTGGAGAAAAAATGCCCAGTTCCTGCATGGTGGTTTGCAGGGGAAGAGAGAGAGAGAGAAAGAGAGAGAGAGAGAGATTGGTAGAAAAGGAAGATGAGAGTCGGGATTGAGTTGGTGAGAATATGAGTTGGGGATGAGAGGCACGGAGACTGGTGGTTTTGTGGTAGTCAGAAAAGGGTGGGTAGCGGTGAATCGGGAATGAGTGAGGGAGGCCCGCTTGTGTCGACCGACCAAATGTAGAGCGTGTGAATTTTTCAAGTCCGATTTTTTCAAGTCGAACTAAAACATAAAAATAAATAAACAAACAAATAAATAAGTAAAAATGTGGAAATATAAAGAGAAAAGCCAAAAAAAAAAAAAAAAAAAAAAAGGACTGAGGGGAAAAAAGAAAGAAAGAAAAATGCTATCGTGTGAACCGTTCTTTACCCTGAAATGCCATCACTGTCAGCTGTCATGGCGTCAGCGGGAAAAGTGTTCTTCCAGTCCGTCAACCGGCAGACAGACAGACAGACAGACGGAGTACAGACGGATAGGCAGAACGGCGCAGAGTGAAGCATGAGATAGAAAGAGGAGGAGGAGGAGGAGGAGAAGTGTGAGGAGGAAGAGCAAGAAAGGAAGAAGGAAGTAAATGGTAAAAGGACAAGGATTCAAGAAGAATTTAAAAAAAAAAAAAGGTCGCAAAAGAAAAAGGAAAAGCGAGAGAGGGAAAATACTGTTGTCGTGGTAAGAAGAAAAGAAACGGTACTTGTACAATATAGATGAAAGAAAAGAAGCAGACGACCAAATAGATGGAGGAGTAAGAGTTGGAAGTAAAAAAAGGGAACGATAAAAAATAAATAGAAAAAAAATGAATGACTGGAGAAAAAAGACATAGAACAAATTAAAATGGTCAAAATCCCCGCTTTAACAGCTCATCGAAGAAAAACTGACTGGTCACATTCACTGCCTCGAAAAACAAACGAGTGACGTTTCATCATCACTAAGCGAGCTCTGAATTTACACCTATCGCGATGAACGGGTACCCTCTCACGGGAAGGGTGTACCTTGAGAGCCTATTGTGATTAAACCAGGTCTCAGATAGAAATCGTACATACGATCCACCACTAAAGATACTGGGAAAATGGTCGGTCCCTTGTACCACTCCAGCAAGTACCTGACTTCTCTCGCTATCCTTTACCTTTATGACAGCTAGATCAGACCGAAAATTGAGTATTGTTGTTATATATGGACAGCAGTTTCCTAGTTTTCACATTCCAGTCGCGATAGAGCCCAAAACGCCTTCGCGTCCTTGTGGGTGATGAATTATTTTCCACCCTACAACTCCATTTCCACAGACAAACCGTCTCAAGCCTCTCGCTGCTCTATATCTATTTCCATGACAAGTGTTCAGATGAACTAAATTCCTTAGTTCCATCAGTTCCAACCTTCAAGACTAAGAGTCGACATGTCACGTATATTGTAGCGAACTACCTTCATTCTCTTCGTATTCCAGTGGTGAGATGTAAGTTCCACTCGAGCAGCCTCGAATCTTTGCCTTGTGGAACCAACTTCCCCAGAGGATGCTTCCTAGATTACTACAACCTTAGCCAAGTCTAGGGGCAACCATCATCTTCTCCACATATCCACGTAAACTGTACTTCTTACTCTGTAATCCTCTACCCCGGGTGGCTCTTGGGTCTTGTACAGAGTGAATATTAAAAAAGATATTCATTCCTTTCATTCGTTGAGTCGCTTGTTCCAATTCAGAACATTTTCCTTAAGTATTGTACAGACGTAAATGTCTGAATTGGTGGAACTAATGAATGAAGCTCGTCTGAACACTTGTAATGAAAATGGCGAGGGGTTTTCCACGTTGCGTCTGTGATAAAAGGGTGGTGTTGGGTGGAAAGTAAGGACGCAGATACACTTTTGAACTCAAACCAAGGCTCCAGAACAAAATATAGTTTATTGATTCACGCATTCATTTTCTACGGCTTATCAACCCTTTACAGGTTATTTAAAGCCAGAAAATATTTTTAGATTGTAAGAGTTTTTTTTTAACAATAATGATATAGTGATACAATTCTTACTATTTAATCCATAGCTGGGGAGAAGAGGTGGATTCATGCATTTTCCAAGGGTATTTGCGCGTCAGGGAATATAAAGAACCCAACTGGAATTGGAAATCGACTCTCAATTCCGAATCATTATTCATTAGATTACCTACACATGCAGGATTACAACACCTAGCTTTCCCAAGCGGTTACCCATCTAGCAGACTAAATACATTATCAGTTTTGGTACAAAGGACCGACCATGTTTCCAGAATCAGCCATGTTTCCAGAATCAGCCATGTTTCCAGAATCCAGCGGTTGATCGTATAAAAGTGTTCCATTTGAGAACTGGGGTAAACATGTGATCCAAGAGAAAATCAAAACAAGGAACTACATTGTGAGTACAATCGTTCATCATGACAGGGTTGGCTCGTTGATGATTTTGGAAATATTGGTTGGTTTTGGAAATATTGAATGTAACAAGCTAGTATCTCCTGTCCTGCTGAGCTGTCAGATATAGGTCAGAGAAAAGACACCGTCGTACATGCAAACAAATAGAATTATGGAATATATCCTAAAACTAAAATAAATGAAGTAGAAAAAAACAGTAAAGTATCAGCATCAAGAGACCAGGACAAGAAGAATCTGGAACGCAGCGACAAAATAAAGCCAGTTATTGAAAACACGTTCGTTCCTATGGAGACTGGATAGCGAACATCTTGAAAAGATCGAATATATAAGAAAACGATAAAATACCACGTTCTAGGGAATTGTTCATATGCAGATAAAAAAAAAGTTTAAGGTTCCATGTTACGATTCGATTATTTTGAAAAATTATTTGAAAATAAGAAGAACAAGAAGAGATTGAAGAAAAACTAAAAAAACAAGGAAATCAAACAAAAAAATGTGCAGAAGAAAAGTAAAATGGCGAAGGAGACAAAAAATTAAAATAAAGAAAATAAGAGATGAAAAAGTAAAAAGCGAAGAAGAAAAAGGCGAAGAAGTAAAAAAAGAAATAAAAAGGGGAAATAGACAGTACAATGTAAAAAAAAAAAACGAAGAGAAATTAAAACTAAACAAAAATGCGAAGATGAAGGAAGGAAGGAAAAGTAAAAAGCGAAGAAGAAAAGTAAAAAGCAAAGTGGGGAAGTTAAAAGCGAAGAAGGAAAAACAGTAAAAACCGAATAAAAAAAAAGTAAAAAGTAAAGAAGAAGAAGAAAAATGTAAAAAAGCGAAGCAAAGATACGTACAAAGTGAAAAGGAAGAAAAGGAAACAGCGAAAAAGAAGAAGAAAAAGAAGTAAAGTGAAAAGCGACAAAGAAAAGAAAAGGGAGTAAAGAAATAAAAGGCTAAAAAGAAATAAGAAGCGAAAAATAAGAAGTTTAGATGAATAATAATAATAATAATAATAATAATTCATAATTTTTTAAAAGGAAACTAGTAAGGCGAGAAGAGAACTTGAAAATATTATGTATGAAAATAGATAATAAAAAAGAAAACGGGAGACGGAAAAGAAAAAAAAAACAGAGTGGAATTAAGAATTTGAAGTGGAAATAAAAGGTGTGCATGAAAGGACTGTGACTGCAATTGAAGAACGACGCTGTTGAAACATCAGAAATGGAACGAAAAGATGCCATTCATGGCAATGTTCCACACCGACCCGATACACCGAGCCCCAAATAGCGCACAGCTGGGATACAAGCACATCAACCAACCACTCATTTGTCGTCTATTTTCCCCAGCGAAGTAAACCTCAGCTTCGTTTCCACGATCTACTGCGCTCGTCTTTTCTTAGTCTTGGTCAAGAACACAGGGAAGTCTGACTGTGGTCCAAACTAGCTGGTCAATAAATACTTCGAAAGTATGCATCGATATTTTAAATCTTGTTAATATATATATATATATATATATATATATATATATATATATATATATTATTTATCTAAAAAATTTATAACATAAATATGTTATAAAATCACTACAAAAATAGCCATTTGTTTCAACACCCTCGGTGTCTTATCAAGTGATGATTTGAATGTAAAATAAATGGTTTTAAAAGTTTCAAATTAATTAACAATCCTTCACAAGGGGAAAACGTTGTTACAAAAGCTAGATGGACCAATCAAAATACTAATGGCTATTTTTTTAATGATTTTATAACATATTTATGTTATATTTTTTTTTTTAAATAAATAATTATATCTGCTCTACTTTGTATTGAGCACTCTTTTAAGAATAGTATTTGTTGGTTATTGGAATTCATTCCATATACATCAATCATATACTTGGATATATATATATATATATATATATATATATATATATATATATATATATATATAATACCAATTTGTAATTTGTAGGGCTAATTCCAAAGAGGACTTCAATGAGAGCTCAATGTAACTGACAGAACAATATATAATGATAAATTATGAAAACAGTTTAAAAATCCATATTGGTTATAATTGTTAGACATTTTTATGACGGTCGTCCTCGAGTATCGCATCCAGAGGTTGGCAGTGAATATTTCGGAGACAGTAGGAAAACGTAGTGGAGGTTCGCGGTGGATATCACAGCAGAGTGTAGTTCGTCCTTCGCCTTTGGTCCTTCCGCTAGGAGGAAACAAGATGGCCGCCTTTATACACTATGAGTACAGTGTTGGGCGGCTTCTGATTGGTCAACCTTCTATTGGTCGACTATAAAGGGAAATAAGTCATTCTGACTCGCTCACTAGTTACACACGGTATATACCCAAAAAACCATAACAATAATTTATTTCATGATTATTGTTATATTCATCTCTTGAAACCGAATATTTTTTAGAAATGGAATCAATTCATCCTGATAAATAAAAAGAAAAAAGGGAAAAGAGAGAGAGACAAAGAAGAAAAAGAAAAAAGAAGAAAAACACAATATTAATAATAAAAAGAAAAAAGAAAAAATGAAGAGAAAGAAAGAAAGAGTGCGAGAAAAGGAGAGAGAGAGAGAAAGAAGGAAGAAATAAATGAAATGGAATCAAGATATTGGTTCTTCGGACTGCATCTGTAGCATACATCCTTAGGAGTTGCTTATATATATATATATATATATATATATATATATATATATATATATTATTTATTTAAAACATGTTTGTGTTTCATCTTCAAGCGAAATTTTTCGCTTGAAGATGGAACAGAGCTCACTTTAACTCAACTTAATTCAAATAATTATATTGAAGTTTTCGGCTCTTGTTTTGAAACATGAGACCTCTTATGTCATGAGTTGGAATCATATTTTTTAAATAAATAATTATATTTATGCCCTACTTTTGTATCGAGCACTATTTTTTAAAAATAATAACTAAAATACTAAGGAACTTTGGATTATTTACCTAACCAGTTCCTTCCTATTTTCTATATATTTTCATATATATATATATATATATATATATATATATATATATATATATATCGCACATAGACTGCTGGTGTTAATAAAACTGTGCTCGATGTAATATCGCAGAGCTATTAAGCATATATTAATAAATATACATATTCCTCATGAAAAACGCAATCTTCAGGTACTAGGTAGACACTGGTTAACGCAATGCTGGCATAATGTTTAATATACAATAATATTCACAACTTTAAATAATTTTTTTTAATTTATTTTATATATATATATATATATATATATATATATATATATATAAAACATAGATATTAAATTACATATATTTCTAAAATAAAAAAAACAAACTGTAATCCACGTATAATATATGGACTGTGTCAGTATTGAATTAACCATTATTATGTAACTGTCAATCTCTACCCGTCACCCGAAGATTGTGCTGTGCATGAAACCCCGAGTCGTATTACCGGTGACATGATATGGAAAGATTATATTGAACTAATTGTTAAGTCTGCTGCAAGAGAATGTTGGTTCACTGTGTCATGCTAGACCATATATATATTATTTACATTATTCGGACTATTGTCCTCATCTTGTCGCCATATTTATTACAACGTTTCGGCCGTTGTTCGCTCCGGGCTTCTTCAGGTGGTTGGAATGCCGAACTGAACCCTTTATTTCGCTGTTCTAGTTCCACGTGCCATGTTTAATGGATGTCAGTTATCAGTTACCTCCTGTTAATTTTCCCTCTGAAAGTCCTCCACTGCCTTAACCGGGTATTGAACTCACACTCTTTTGGTTCCTGTCACTGGATCTAACTAACGCCTTTATCCACTGTGCCATGTGTCCTTGAGTAATAAATATGGCGACAAAGATGAGGACAATAGTCCGAATAATGTAAATAATATACATAATACCTCATCTCAGAAATATAGACAGATATAGACCATATATATCTTACATATTTATAAGTCTATATTTCGTCCACGCTTTTAATATTGCTGCCACATCTGGTCTGGTGCTCCTGATATATATTTAGAGATCCTTGATGAAATCCAAAGAATCTGCAATTTCATTGGTTCTGAACCGGCATCTTGGCTTCAGTCACTTTCTCACCGCCGTAATGTAGACTTTTTTTATAATTACTTTCATGGTGATTGTTCTGATGAACGGATTTCTTTCGTACCGAGGCTCTATGAATTTAAGCGCAGTACTAGAGTGGCAATGAGGTCTCACCTTTTTACTGTTGATATGTCTAGATATAACTGTAAATTCTATGTTAACAGTTTCTTTTTGTGGAACTTTCTTTCGACTAACGAAAGTTACAAACCGCCAAAAAAGAAATTGAATACATTGGCAAGATAAGAACACACACACACAAAAAAAGAAGATTCTAACTTTAAAATGTTAACCATGTTTGCCGTAGTCTCTGAATATGGAATCCAGTGAAGTCCGTAATCTCTTCAATATCAGAGTTTGGCAGTGTAGATTCGGAGAAAGTAGCGGCTGTGTAGCGAACATCTTTCGTCAGTTGCGGTGTCAATGTACAGACCGTTCGTCCATTTTGTTCGCGCAATAATGTTTTCTCGTACACACATATATACGTATGCACGCGCGTTCACGCATCTTCTAACCGTCTGTTTTTTTTATGATGGGGTCTGTGTAAGATTATGGTAGCTAAAATTGTTATTATTTTGCAATAACGCAACCAAGGAACTTCAACGCAATTGCAGAAATAAAACAACATGTCCACTCTAAGGAAATTGCCAACAAACGAATATAATATGTAGAGCCAAGGTAAGTACAAACAACAGCCCAATGTACTACATCGGGACCATTCAAGAAAAGAAAAAACAACCACGACCTTTCATTCTCCGACAGAAAATACTCCAACAGCACTACACTATCCACATACATATGACATCTAAAAGACAGAAATATTACAACAAGAATAAGCTGGAAAATAATCAAAAACGCACCTGCCTACGACAACATTACAAAGAAATGCCTACTTTACCTACATGAAAAGGTAGCAATAATTTCTCATACCCAACAAAAGAAATTGCTAAACATAAGATCAGAAATAATTTCCAAATGCAGACATGAAAACAAATACCTATTATCACAATTTATGACAAACGGATAAAAAAAACAACCATTACTACCGCATCACAATTACCATTGCCGCATTAGTCCACAATTACTACCGCACCACAATTACAATTACCATATCAGTCCACAATTATACTTACTTCCACCCCACCAGCAAAATTAATACCGCCGCATAAATACTAAGTATTATAAATTGGAGTTTCTACCATTTACATATGCGCAATCGCCAAAAAGCAAAAAAAAAATAACCAGCTTTAAAATAATAAAACAGCATTTAAAAAAATTAAAAATAATAGCAGTTTTACCTACCATAGTCTTACACAGACCCCCATCATAAAAAAAAAAAACAGACATATAGGAGATGTGTGAAAACGTGTGCATTCGTATATACGCGTGTGCGAGAAAACATTATTCCCTGATATTGAGCGCAATAAGCCATAAGTATAACACGCCTTGAATCTATATTTTATCATATATATATATATATATATATATATATATGAATGCGTATGACTATATTTCTGAGATGAGGTATTATGTACAGTATTTACATTAGTCGGACTATTGTCCTCATCTTTGTCATCTGAAGAAGGCCGGAGCGTACAACGGCCGAAACGTTGTGACAAATATGGCGACAAAGATGAGGACAATAGTCCGACTATTGTAAATACTGTACAATGAATGCCTATGTGTGTGTATGTATGTACTACTTCTGTTACATAGGGAGTAAGCGGATAGTAGAAGCTTTTTTTGTAGGTGGAAATATAATGTTGTTTCTGACTCTTTGATATGGTTTCCATGTTTAGACAAAATATAGACCGAGTATGGATAGAAATCCGACAAAATGATAGGATAAAGAACAAGTAGGAAACAGAAATGATAAAATGTGATAAAAAAACGAAGATACGCAGATTAATGGTATGTTGACCTCAGTTATTTCTTACTGGTTAGATATGTGTCACGTGTAATGAAGTAACACATAATATTCAAATAATGTGTGGCATATATATGATGATGATGATGGACACTCTCATCGTTTTCGACGTATGAGTGTCTTTCAGTTCAGTTTTTATGTTTATGTTTCGTATGAGACAACAATCCTGCGCGAGATTTGCATAAAAGTCCACACGTG